AATAATCGATCCTAAAAATATAACTATAAATTTGTACTATATCAAATTAAGGCTAATAAAAACCAACTGACATTGTTATTAAAGTTCAAAATAATAATAATAATAATAATAATAACTAATAATAATAAAATAATAATAATTCATTATATAACAATTTCTTTATATTAATATTAGTTTTTTAGGTTTAACTTTTATAATGATACTATCAAAGATCTTTTTACCTTTCTACTTAGGTTTTTTTAAGTAGACTCTAGTTTTTTTTAGTTCTACAGATTAATATTACTATAAGAACTTATTTTAGATTTGCACTACCTATTACCAGTTTACATTCTTTTATATAATCAAGATTACACAAATGTTTTATAATTTGCCAGTCATGCTAGTGTATTATATAAAAAAAAAATATACAGAAATCAGTGAACTATCTGTCAAATGTAATATAAAAATTAAAATATGTAATTAGATAATCTTCTAGCATATTACAGATATGAAAACTAATATAAAACTTATAAATGAACTACTTAAATAGATAACTAAAAGTTGCAAATATATCTAATTATATACTAAAAACTTTGAATATTTTTTGTGATTTCTTTTTTACTTGCTTATTAGATATTCCTAAAGCTATGTTAGCTTTGAGTTTTTTTGGTATATCTTTTTATTTTTTTTCTTTTATTTTTTGTATCAGGTTTTACTAATTCATTTTTTGGCTTATATACTTCTTTTCATTTTTTTAATATTTTTTCAAGTTAATCTTTTTTTTTCTAAACTGGTTTTTAAAATGTTCTGCTAAACTTCTTAAAATTATATTTGGTTTTAATACTAAGTTGACTTTTTCTTTGTTTTATATTAGAAATCTATTAAAAATTATTTTTTTGTAAGATCTGTTTAGTAAACTAACAATCATCTATTCTTGATTAGTTTTGATTATTTTATATTTTTTGGTTATATTTTCATCTATCTGTTTTTCTAAACTCACTCTCATTCTTTTCTTCTACTTTTTTTGATCATTCTCTATCAAATTAAGCTTGTTTCAATGTTATAAAAAAAAATTACAAATTAGAAACTTTAAATAGTAAATTCACAGATGGGTTCCAGATATAGCAATTAACAGATAACTTGTAAGTAGAACCTTTAAATAAACAATGATTAAAGTTGTACATATGACTAATTGTAGCTTTGTTAATATGCAAAATGTAATATCCTTCTCTTAAATTGATAGGAACTAAAAAACACTTAATAAAAATCATGAGATCAAAAAAGTTTCTCTATAAATTAAAAAAAAAAAAATTATTATTTATATTTAAAGTTAACAAATACCAGTTAACTTTAAATAAAAAACTACTAATCTAATTTTAATAGTTTTGTTACTATTAGAATTAGAAACATATAAGAAACAACTTTACTTAAAATGCTAAAAGATTTACTTAATAACAATATCTATTTTGAAGCTTTTTTTTATTTAATAAAGGGTATGAATATCGAAAATAAAAGGTATAATTATCAATTTCCTTAAGAAGTTGCAGGTTTAAAATTTGCATAAAAATAATCATCAAATTGTTACTATAAAATTCCAATAATCAATATCAAAAAAAGTATACTAACATTCATACAAGATCAAATCACTGACAATTCGACGTACCGACCGATGATTGGTGAAACCAAATCAACGTCCTACCAACTCTATTTCAAACCTATACTTCTATTTTTATCTTTGGCTAACTATCATTATAATTAACTTTAGACACAACAGAACTAGTAGTTTCTTCAGTATTTAGCATATAGATTTTGTTAGCAATTTGATATTCATCGAATGGGCTATAAGTGCCAAGAAGAGGAACCAAATTGTAAGCTTAATTAGTCCAAAATTGGCTCAGGAACATTTTTTTGTATTTCTTATTTATTATTGTATAATATAAAAATCACTTTTCCGCAAACCTTTTTTTTTTGTTAAATTAGTTCCTTTTCTCAACACCACGCCAAAATATATTGGTCGTACTAAGTTCTTTGCACTGTATTAGACTAGAGATCAAAAGAAGAGAAAATCTGAACTTTAAACTCATGCGTCACTATGACTCAAATCATTGAAGTCATTCCTGTCGATGTAACGTAACACAGTGTTATTCTATTTATAAACGTAATCGTCACATTTATATTTTCGCGATTTATCCAGGTTCATATAATGACCGACGGGTGGACTTCTGTAAAAAATTCTAAAAATGCATCTCGTAATTATTCATCGTTCGGATCTCGCGGAAAAACATTCCCTAGATACAAAAATAACTCTACTAGGGTGTCAAATTTATCTATAAATAATGGCGTAAACATTCATAACACCTACCCTGCGGGTTTCGAAGAACCGATTTCTCCTTCCTCTTCTGGAACTATATCTCCTGATATGTCCCAGGAAATATCTACTTTACCATCATATCATATTGAATTATCTATTGAATGCCCTTTTGATTGCCAACCAAAAGTTACTATAAACAATAGTACAACCTTAGTGGATCATTTAAAAGATGTTCATAAATTACGAATGTCTAACTTGCATCATGTTTATTTGATCATTGAAGAATATCTAGGATTTTGGGCAAAAGAAATTATTAAGGATGATGTCAAAAAACAATTAAGCGTTGAAACAGATGGTGGTAATTTATATTCTATCTTTACATGAATTTTGGCTTATTATTATTATTATTATTATTTCAATCAAGAATATTTATTATTATTTTAGAAACTACTATATACGTGATTGATCCAGAAAAGCTTCCAAAAGATAAAAAAATTCGAGATAGCCTTCAACGCAATAAATTGGTATAGTCTATATACATTGATTTCATATTACTTTATTATTTTTCGATAATTTACACAAAAAAAAAAAACCTTTCAGGATAAAATTTTGCAAATACAAGCTAATGAACGTAACTATAACTCGAAACTAGAACGTAAATGTTTGTTTTGCAAGAATATTTGTGAAAATAGGTGCGTCAATTTCACACTATATATATATTACATAATTTCTAAATTTATTTATCTATTTATTTTTAACTAGAGTTGATTTGTTTCGTCATATGTTTTCGGAACATAATTTTAATATCGGTCTTCCGGATAATCTCGTGAATGTTGATGAATTTCTTGAAATTCTTGAAAAAAAGCTGACAAGGTACGGCGTCTCCAGCCCATTGACTGTTTTATGATCGCAATCTTTTCAATTTATTAAATCTATTCATTTTATTTATTTCCATTGTCGTAAGCCTCCAATGTTTATACTGTGAGAAAATTTTCACTTCGTCAGCTGTGTTACGCAAGCATATGCGTAAGAAAAAGCATTTTAAGATTAATGCCAAAAACAGAATATATGACAGATTTTATGTGATTAATTATTTGGTATTTAAATTATATATAATCATGTATTATGATGCTTTTATAACAATTTGAGAATAATTCAACGTGTTTCTTAGGAACCTGGAAAAAATTGGGAAACATTTGAAAAGGAGCGTTGTGATTCTGATGAAGAACATCATCGAGATGAGTATGTATCTTTACTTTTTTTTTGAAATAAATTTATGATTCTAAATTAAACTTTTTCAAAATGGTACCTTAAATATAATAGTTCATGGGATGATTGGAATGAAGAGGAATCACAACCGACAAACTGTCTTTTCTGCGATACTATATCTCCAAGTTCTAAAGATGTGATGAATCACATGAAACATGCACATGGATTTGATTTGTTAATTACTAAACAGGATCTTGGTACAATTTTACACAAAAATATTATTTTGGATATGTAATATTTTATTAACATTATTAACATTATTATTACTATCATGAACCCTATTCCAATAGGGCTAGACTTTTATCAAACAATCATCCTAATCAATTATATAAGGTACAAAACATCAAATAATACATGTATGGCATGCGATTCAGCATTTGATGATAGCCAACACTTGATTAAACATATGAGTGAAGAAAATTGTTTTGTCAAAGTTCCATCGTTGGATAATTCTATATGGAAAGATCCAAAGTAAACTATCAATTTTATTATAAAATGATGTATGATTAGCAAATGGTTACTCTATAATAACTTTATGTTCATGCTAGGTATCTATTTCCAACACAACCCAATGATCCATTGTTAGGTGGATTCGAAGATGATGAAATCATTGATGATAATGTAAATAACGACAATGATATGACATTAAACAATCCGTATGATAAAATCGTGATACCCGAAGAACCATCTGAAGAATTGAAAGAAGGTATTAAACAGCTAATGAAATTGAATAATAAAAGTGGGTCTAATTTAGTAGATATTGATGATGTATATAATGATGTAAATATTTGAATAATTTAATAATTCACATTTAAATGGATTTGAGTGAATTGATATAGCGGTATAATTTAGGTTTAAGCAAATTTGGATTGAATAAATTTTGTTTTAAATGAGTTTTGGATTAATTTGACTGGTGTAATGATATCGATTTTTACGTCTAATGGTTTCAAATCCTCTAGTGAAACTGTCTAATAGTAAATGTTCTAATGATACTATTAAGTTTGACTTTCCTAACAACTTATACTGTATAAGCGCACAGAGGCGTTATTTTAAATAATTGCCTGAATTAGGTTTAATTTAGGCCAAATTTCAAAATTACACCTCCGCGCGTTATTTCGCGCTTATACGGTACATAATAGTTCAACCAATCGATTATATAAAGTTAGTCAGTCGTAGTTGATTATATAAGTTTAAACTTGCTAAGAGGTGTTGGTTTATTCTGTCACGCATTGTATAAAGATAATCTTTAATCTTTAAGTGAAGGAAACTATGTATGACCACATTTTTATATAATCTCTGGTAACCATAATCTACTGGGATGTCTCATTCATCGTCTAATTACTAGAATTAGTGATTATAAATCGTCAAAACATAAAATTTAATTACTCATTTTTATCTTGGTACATATGAGCATCGTCAATCCAAATGAATCGTTGTGAGAATATGGGGGTACCAGAAGAAACCAAGCAAATTGTTTCTAAGTAATTTTTTTTTAAACTTTAAAGTAAAATATCTCAACAATTATTAAACCAAACTTGATAAATTTTTATTATTATAATTCTATATAGTTATAGAATTAAAAAAAAAAAAATACCAAGTTTGGTTTAATAGTCGTTGAGATATTTTAATTTAAAATTTTAAAAAAACTCACTAAAAACAATTTGCTTGGTTTCTACTGGCATCCCCATATTATTTTTACATTATTTATAATAAATTTCAATTAATAATTATATATTAAAAAATTAAAACATATGATCCTTCTTGTTACTTCAAAGAGCGCATTAAAAGAATTTACAGGTTTGTGTATATAATAAATATTACAATTTGAATTTTAGGTGTTTTTACTGTTTACAATAGCAAATTAAAAAGTCTTTATTAGTGACCTGCACTATCACTGTTATTGGCACTGGTTTTAATACACACAAATAATACATACCATATTTTCACGAAATAACGCGCACGTGTGTTATTTCGAATAATGACCTGAATTCAAACCAAATTCGGAATTACACCCTTCGCGTTATTTCGCGAAAATAGGGTAAATAACAACTGCATAAATGATATTCATCGTTTGCAAGATTAAATTATCTCAACTTAACTCAATGTTAATTATTCATGTTTTAAATATAATTCTTTTTCTTTCATTATAATTAGCCTTGCAATTTGGATACGATTGTGAACGTTTGTTTTTATTGAAAAATTGCTGTCTAACAGATTTATTTTACAATATAAAATTTGATATTAGAAATACTGTATAATATAAAAAATGTGTAACCATATCATTGCATAATAATTTTTAAAATGAAATAATTAAACAACTAATTAAAAGACAATACTTTTTAAATTTTTTTTTAAACTTATCAAACCAGAATGTTTTCTAACTTTAATTGTCCTTTTTAAAAAATCTATAATCGCTTAAAGATCTATCTTCACCAAGAGTATCAATAGCATTAAGATAATTTGTTATTTTTTTTTGTATTAATACGTTGTCTTAATCCGTTATGGCCATCAGAATTAGCATCACGAATTCTGTAATGAATAGATCTGTGTAAGAAATTTTGTAAATAAAAGACAAGTTTCTAAATTAAGGGATACTTACAGTCTTAAAAAGGCTTCTTCTAAACTCTTTTGACTTACACCCCAAGCTTTAACAAGTTTCTTCCCTGGTTCGCTGTTGCTCATCTCCTCATTTTCTTCCAACCATTGAATGAATGATGGTAAAGCTGGTAAGACAGATAAAGGAAGTTCATAAATAAGAGAGCCAGCTGAATCATCTTCCAATTTAGCGTCAGGTACTTGAGCTTCAACTAATTCCTTAAGACGTTGTGAATCATTAGGATGAGTGACAAGAGATACACGATAACCGGCACCAAATTTATTTTTAATGCGCATAGAATTTCCGAGAGCACATAAACGGCCATGAGCCATCACACAAATTCGGTCACCTAGTACGTCTGCTTCTTCCATAGAATGAGTTGTTAAAATAATAATTCTACCTTTTTTGAACTTTTCAATAAAGCTCCATACATGACGTCTATTAACTGGATCCATCCCGGTTGTAGGTTCATCCATGAAAATGATTTTAGGATCACCAATGGTAGAAATTACCATGCTAAGACGACGCTTCATACCACCACTATAAGAACCGGCCGGTTTATCAGCAACCTTAGTGAGACGTACAGCAGCCAGTCGTTCTTCGACTAATTCTGCAATTTCAGCGGAAGGTATATTTTTAATACCTGCATAAAGTTCAACATGCTCTTTCGCCGTTAGATCGTTAAAGAGAATATCATGTTGAGGGCATACACCCATGACTTTACGAATTTTATTCATATCATCTCGAACGCTATAGCCGTATAACAATGCGTCACCATTTGTTGCAGGAGTTAGTCCGGATAGGATGTTCATTGATGTACTTTTACCGGCACCATTCTGTCCTAATAAAGCGAGACATTTTCCTTCTTTCAAAGTCAGGCACAAATCATTAACAGCAATCTTATCAAATACACTTTTAATCAATAAATTTTTTCGATAAATTTTGCTGAGGTTGCAAATTCTGACAACACATTCATGAGTTGAATCAAACGCTAGATTACGTTCACGAGCGACATCTTCATCTTCTCCAGTATGTTTACCAATGCTAGCTTTCTTAGCACGATTTAACCATGCTTGCAAATCAAATGTTTTTTTGAATTTAATTCCGTAATAACTAGGTGTCAAAAAGAAAACTGGATTCTTGTAATTTCCAAATTCATCGGGAATGATTTTGTCCAAGTACCATGTAAGAATAAAATAAAAACCTATATTCATCAACAAGAAATACCAACTTTGAACAGGAGGAGGTACAGAAGGCCTGATATTAGAATCACTATAAACCGGAAGATAAACATCCGGAATCGCATTATAAAGATCATTCCAGAAAAACCCTGGACCAGGGACGACAGTTTGAGTCAATCGATCAAGTTTTCCAGAAGTCAACATAGATAAATCCAAATAAAGTTTTCCAAAATTGAAAAATGGTAAGAACATAAGAATTATCCAGCCTATCTTATCAACAGATTGACTCCACCAAATGTAACCCACAAATGCATTAGAGAATACGAAAGATTGGAAAATAAGACCAATAATAAATATGAATATACCAACAAGCACAGCAACACGAGCACGACGACAAAATGTAGTGATAAAGAATGCAAAGGAGATCATAGCAAGACCAAAGAGAATAAATGTAATGAATAGAACAGCAAAGTTTGCATTTTTAAAGACAAAAAATTGGAAGGCAAGCCCAAACGTGCAGGTTACCAACGAACAAATGATCACTAACCAAGCATTAGAAATGAAATAGCTTAACCAATAAACTTCAATCTTCAAACCCATCATCACCAAACTATCTATTAACTTTTGTTCTTTTTCAGTAACAATTGTGTTTAAAACAGAAATGAAAATGATCATTTCAGCACAAAAGAAAAATACAGCGCCAAAAGATGTTACAATTTGATCACTAAGTTGAGAAGGAGGAACTTTAGGCCAATCCTTAAGTTTAATATTAAACGTCGCAGGATTTTGAAGATCGTTGCTAGCGAAAGTAACTATTTTAGGAAAAATGCAATAAATAAGGAATGAAAAGAATAAATAAATTAATAAAATAGAGAATACAAAAATGTATACCGATAGCTTCGTCAACTCCACGTTGTAAAGCAAGTACTTGTTCACCAAACACATCAGAACCATTTGCCATAAGAGTACTGTTAAACCAAATCTGATATCTATAATTTACAGGAGGGCCTGGAACAGTACTGAACTCAATACCAAACATTGTAACATTTGGATGATTTAAAGTGTAATTGTAGATGAAGTCAGCATTAGGAACGGGAACAATTCCAAGTGTGGAAGTTGGTATAAAGTCAAGGCTGGTGATTGAAGTCTCTAAGTTTAATTTGTATCCAGTCCGTTTGAAATTGTTATCTGCAAAAGCTTGCATTATCGTACGTGACGCTTGGTCATCAGGTGTATACATCAAATTGATACATGGGTCAGATGTTGTTCGTCCCTATTAATTGAGAATGTTATAATTTATTCATTTAATTCATTTTGAAATCTTTAAAAAATTAATGATTACCTGACAAGATTGAACTCCAAGAAGGGGATAAGCTGTTGGGTGTAGATTTGACTTTAATCTTTGACTATTATCAGCTTGTTGTAAAATATATAAAAGTAACAAAAATATTATTGGGCCGATTAAAATTTGAGAGAGAGTCGATTTATAATATCGTTTCTATGGGAAAAATTTTAAAATTTTTTCATTATATTTTTAGAGATAATTAAGAATAATAAGATCTTTACTAACTTGTAATATAAAATTTCTCCGAATCATAATCCATAATTGTCTAAAGAAAAGTAAGAATCCACCAGTCGAATGTATCGTAATTTGTTGTGCGGCAGTATTATCTGTTGAACTGGCGACAGACGTTGATGAAAGTTCACTTTCAGACTGTGCGTTAATACCATGATTTGGTGATAAGTAACTATTATCCATCGTTCTGTGAATTATAAATCGTTAAATCTGTATTATAAAACAGTTAAAAAGCTAAAAGATAATAATGACGTTTTTTTGGATTTAAATATAATACTTGAGGCAAAAGGACCATTGACAAAAATGGGCATTCAATTAAAGAATAAGCTTGTCATGGATATGTTTATGATGATTATTTTTAAAATTACGTTTTTATCGGGATTGAGAAATGGTCAAAAAAGTTAAAAAGTTGAACACAACATATATTAAACATTACCAT